GCTGAAAGGATGTTCCTAAGAAAAGTAATGATTTTTTAGGGATTTGCTATCCGTTTTCACGAAAATCAAAATTGCTCTCGATTAGCACGAAGCTTCCTTAGCTAGAAAGATGAGGTCATAGTTGTTTATAACTGTTTCGATCTCCGCTATGACGTTTTCGGTTTTGCGTGCGCAAAAATTGCAAAATTGAAGCTATACTCTTTGTTTGTTTCTAACCCTCGATCTACTCCGTTTTAATTCATGTACCGCTGTAATGTGCAAAATTTTCTCTATCAAACAAAAGAACTCCTAAAATTTTTCGTGATCCAGCTTGAAAAATGTCGATCTTGACTAATTTCGTTAAATTGCTTTCGACTCTCGAACCTAGCAACGCTAATTCATGGCAAAGGCATTGCTATAAAGTAAAGGGTTTCCTCTTTCATACAAAAATAATTTTGAGAAAAATCGTTGAGAAGAAAGGAAGTTATGATTTTTTGAAAATTTGGCGAAAGAACTTTTGAAATGACCTAATAAGTTGTTGGTCCCGTCCAATATCAAAAGAATGTGATATTCGACGGGACCGGCATCCCCGAGTTTTTCTTTAAGGGGAAAATGTCGTCATAGCGTTCAAAGAATCTCTGAATAATTTTTTGATGTTTGTTATGGTTTGCCATGAAACTAGACCTTGATGGATGAACGTCGAAAAACTCCAAAATCAACAGCACGGAGCTCCTACGTCATAGGCCATAAATCTGTAGTCCGCATCATAATAGGTTGTCCCAGAAGTTTTGGCCGTTTTTTTTTCATTGCCCCCTAATACTCACAAAACACCAATCCATGAACGACTTAGAAAATATTTAATTCAGATTTTTATCCTCTTTCCTACAGCTATATTTGCTCTCTGATCTACTCTATCTTTGCAATGTTATCGCCATGGCCTTTTAAGCAGCTCAGTAGTAACGCTAAATATTTCTTGAATTTTAAAAATTTTCATCCCAACGTTTTCAAGGGACACTGGTAACAGATCTCAGACATTCGCGGTTAAGTCCCGCCGGTGAAAACGTTGTGTCCCGACTGAATGACTGCGGGACACAAGTAAAATGATTCGCGAAAAAACCGGGACTCCTGCATTTCGTTCGGAATAATGCTGCGCGACACGCGCTTTTGTCCCGAAATGTTTTCTACTGAGAAAACCGGGAGCTCCTGCGGTTCCCGATAATGTCGCGATCCAATCACCGGCGGGATCCCACTCTAGGCTGCAGTCTCCTGCGGGCTAATAGCAGCTATTCGATCAGCCGCTGGATGGGCTTTCTCTCGAAATGGTTCTCCTTCAAAAGTACTCAAATACATACTACACACATCTTACAAAGGTGCTGTGCTCGATACAGAGTTCAGAACCGCTATTTATTGGCTTCCGCGATCGAAAAACATTGAAAACATTATAAGAAAGTTAACCGAAACAATGTAAAATGTCGAGATCAATATTTGAGATCAAATCCTTAATTCAAACTAAGTTCACATTTTCGATGTCTTTGTCTTGCTCATGTTCCCCTTCATTCGCCTGCTAGTGCGCCAAAGAAGCATGCGTCGTAGTAGGGCAGGAACTTTTTTCTGGAAAAAAGTAACAATCTAACATTGATTTGAGAAATAATATACGAATATTACCGAGGGTGGAGGCAGTATCTCCTTATCAGCATCAAAATGATATGCTCGCACATCTGTCTTAAAATTTAAAGTCGAGAGAATCATGAAAACAAACTTTAAAAAAACTTACAAAGCTCTTCCTATAGCCACTTGTGCTATTCCATTCCGCTTCAGCTTCGCCTCGGGCAACTTGTCAAACATCTTTGTCCTAGTCTCGTCGTCGTTCCCTAGGCCCAGCCAAAATCTAAATTAATGAGACATCAAGGGGTAGAAACACTTTTATCTATACGTATTTCTTTTCCGCGCGCATTCAGTAGCGCTCAGTTGAAATTCTTCTGCGTAGAGGCCAACACCATCGAGAACGAAATCTGGAAGATCTATTTTAGGATTTTTAGAAAGACCATCAATCACTCACTTATCAAAAATGTAACCAGACCTTCGGGCAGGTCGTGCAAATGAGGAAATCTTCCCCTTTTACCGGATTTGCATGCAAACTTTTGAATTTCTTGTTTTGGCTTACAGGCCTAAGTGCGCACCTCTTGATCAGGATAGACTCAAAATTTTAGCCTCACATTCAAAAAATAGAACCTGCAGAAATCCACCACTAACAAAAATTGATCATTGTGTGCCCTAGACGGCCGCGTCCAGTTCTCGAAAAACTCGATCATTTGGCATTTTGGAACAGAATTACAAGATTCAAAGTCGCGCTGACCATCCAAGAGAAAATGAAGGAAACTCAAAAAGAAAAATACGCACAATCATTTCTACAGAAGATTGTTTAAGTATTTCACGATGAACCATAGAGTTCGAAATAAAAAATATGTCACTGGCTGAAAATTGAAATCGGAAATTATTACTGTGTAGTGTACAGTCGGATCATCTCATATGATCATGTGTGCATTGCACACACCGTCCATCTTTGGCGTCCCCATCCTGGGTTTGCAAAGGCAAAAACGCAAGAGACTAGCCGGTTGCTATAGCTTACATTCTTTGAGGTTCATTAGTACCCAAAAAGGAAAGAAAACACTAAGTACACATCGAAAATACTTATTTGGGGCGCCTGCCAAGATCCAGGCTTTGGGCGCCAAAGATATACAGTGTGTGCAAGGGCACAGGTTCATATGAAATGATTCGACTGTACATGACAATTAACTATCATCGGCTTCCAGATTCGTGTGGAGGTGGAGTCTTGCCAACTCACAGCGTGTTATTGCTAGCGAGAGAGCATAAAAAACAATGCTACGTGGAATTTTAACAAGTTTATCCGTGTTATCAGGGTCTGCAATGCACCATCAACGAATCTGGGAGATGATCATACACTGGCCTTTCGCGAGAAGAGAAGCAATTTACAAAAAGAAGCCATGAGAGCAGGCTGAGTGAAATCACTCAGATAATCGCTGGGGGCAGGAGGACATGCGATTTATGGGCACCGAAAAAATAGTTCGTTGATTTCTTGCAGTCCGCTTGCAGATATTTGGAAGAATTTTGGCGGAATTTTGGACGAATGCTTGGAGAACAATCACGGTTTCCTTATAGATTAGCTGCGGCGCAAAGGCCACATTCTCGGGTACTTTCCGCGAGAATAGGCAAAATTTTCGAGGGCCGCACCGTTCTTTGTGGAGGACCGCGCAGCCCCTAGGTAGGTACTCTCCGCTGGGAGGAAGTACTTCAAGCTTGAGTAATTAAACCAACGGTGACACATCTACCACACAGAGTCTTACCTGTGCTCAGCGTAGCCCGAAACTGCTTGAAAAGAGTCCGAGCGCTTGCTGAAGGTTTGGCCAGCGCTCACTGAAAGAGATTATTTGACGAGCGCCCGCAGGAAACTCTGTATTCTGCCCCGCTAGCAGGACATCCGACAGTATAGGAGGTACCGCTCGCTGAAGGTTTGGCCACGCCCCAAAATTCTGCTGACCGCTTGCAGAAAAGCCCGAGTTTGCGGACCGCTTGCCTCCGGCAATTATTTAAGCCGATGACACGTCTGCCACACCGAGTCTCATCTTTGCTCGGCGTTTGCCCGAAACCGCGTAAAAAGAGGCTGAGCGTTTGCTGAAAGTTTGGCCAGCGCTCGCTGAAAGAGATTATTTGACGAGCGCTCGCAGAAAATCTTGTATTGCCGCCCGCTGGCAGAACGCGAAAGTACCGCTCCCTGAAGGTTTGGCCTTGCCCCAAAATTCTGCTGACAAAAAAGTGCGAGTTTGCAAACCTGCCCCCGGCAATTATCTGAGCAGTTGCTGCTTCGATACATCCAAGATGACAAGATGTCCACGACTTGCATGAAAGCAGTCCTAATTAGAATCCGGTCAGTGAAACTGCCGGCGCCAGCAGAGTCCATCCATAAAGTGCAATGCGAAGCCGATACGACACGATTTTAACCCAACCCACATTGCTGTTCAGATATGTGAGATCAGTGTCAGGAACGCAAAAGAGGAAATTTCGAAGGAAATTTCTAGCGAGATGAAAAATCTCTAAAACTTATTTGTACCAGCTGGTCAACGTCATCGTCACATAAGGGATGCAAGTCCAAACATGAAGTGGAAGAACGAATAAGAATAGCAACCCGTTTCGATTCACTGTCCCAAACCCGTTTCGAACTTCCATAGGATGCTTCTTCGCCATCTGGAATTGAACGTCATATCAATCTGTCCCAAATCAAAACCAAAACATGCAGATGCAGCGTTAAACAACAAAGGAGTTAGCAGAAAGACCTCGCAGTAAGAGACGGCTAACCAACTACAGTATGAGCGAACAGAAAAAAGAAACTCTATTCAGTAATTTTGTTTGACAATCCAGAAAGGATTCATATTACGCCCTTTAGGAAACACTATATAAACAGAAATTTCATCACATCATACAATCAAAACGACTCTCGTACCCCGAAATCGCGTCGCGCGATAATCTCCCGCTCCTTTTTAACTGTCGGGATAATCCCGAAAGCCGGGACAAATCCGGGTGTCGTGCAAGACTCCCGATTTTCTCGCGAATTCTCATTTTGTGGGCGGTTCTCCTGCGGGACTTAATTGCGAATGTCTGAGTTATGTAGAACAAACCTTTGGTTACATTGTGACCATTTTAGGTTATATGTGCACCGTTTACCAAGTCCGTCATAAGCAGTATGATGGAGCTGTAATGCCGGTAGTTTCAAAAAGCGCTTTCGGAGTGTGCAGGTTTCTTAATTGATTGCGATGCTCAAGGATGTGGTAATGGGTGACAACAGCTTTACTGTGGATGTGTTAAATATATGAAGAATAAGGTTGTAGGATAATTGAACCTTTTTGCCTTTTTGTGGCCACTCCTCCAGTCTCTGTCGAGTCAACAGAGGAAAGGGGCAACCGTGCAAATCTGAAGTAGAATGTCTTTGAATGTTTCTTTTAGGTTCACGACTGTCTACCACTTATAATGGCTTCCGTCACCCCTGCCACCACCTGTGAAACAGTGCTTTTACCCATTCCTATATCCAGTGCGTAGGCGGCAAAAGACATGCCCTGGGTCACAAATCTGAATTTAGATTCACACACACATAGCCCACAAATCTTATGAATTTTCGACGCATCACCTCAAGTATATCATCAATCTGTGACGGCCACTTATGGGGCCAGCGTGCGCCACAACATGCTCCAAACGGCGTCCAATTCTTTGATAAAGGTCTTCAAACTCATTAGGCAGAAGCCTGATGAAGTCGCGAAATGCTTCAGGTCTCCGAGTTATCAAATACTCATCAAAGATTCTGAAGCGATTCTCAAAGAATGGTGCATCTTCTCGTCGCACATAAGCAGGCGAACGAGAAGTGGTCGGCTTATCTAGAATGGCTTTCAAGGCTTCCAATGTCCCGAAAAGATTTGAAAGTCGTTGGTAGTTCATTCTGCAAAAAGCAAGTGATTCTTTGTTAAAAGCTCAGACGACGAAAGAGCGAGTATGGGGAGATAGCAGGGGTAGCAGGGAGATGAATAGCAGAAGAAAAAGAAAGATGAAAAGCGAAAGAAGAATTATTTCCTCACAAGATCACACAAGAAGAGTAGAAAAATCTTTATTCAGATTTGCGACATCGCATCCTTTGTCCATTCTAAACAAAAGCGAATAATACCGCTGTGGTGTCTATATCATCACACAACATTGTTACCTTTATTCAATCAATCCAAAAATCACTGTTGAGAAACTGGGGTTTCATTATCAAGCAAAAAGTCTACTGTGGCAAAGAATCACCAAGAATTACGGCGATGCCATCGTATGCCGCTTGGACTTTGGCAGAGATGATGAGACATTCAGAAGCGATTTCTGAATTGCCGTGCTCATCAGGGGTCATACATAATGATAAGTAAGATAAACACGTGAAATAACAGGAACAAAACAACAGAAAAGAAAACGTTCATATCTGTTTCGTTCCTGCCCTTGGACGGAAACAAAAAAGAAAATGAAAGAAGCCTTTCCCGGAACTCATCAGCAAGGAAGAAAGGCCTTTTTGAAATTGAAATGAAAGGAGAAAGAAAAAGTCATATTAGAGACGAAAATAAAAGAAAAGAGAACTTTCAAATCCGTTTCGTTCCTGTCCTTGGACGGAAAACAGAAAAGAAATTGAAAGAACCTTTCCCGAAACTCATCAGCAAGGAAGAAAAGCTTTTTAGGAAGAACAGGTAGACTAAGAAAAAAGAAAGAAAAGAACAAAACAACTACAAATTCAATCAATCAGAAAAACTCAGTTATAAAAGGTGTAAATGACTCACCTTCACTTTCAATGATGGAAGTTGCAATTTGAAAATCCTCGTTGTGGGGGATACTTGTAGGAGATTGCCGCAGTGACGCAGCAAATCTGTAAATACAAACTGTATGGAGGTTAGTTATTGATTAGTAATGATAGGAACATATGTACGTGTGTACAGGGCAACAAAGAGTGAAAGAAGATATAAGAGAGATAATCTCTTATAAAGAGATTACCTGGATATGCGGGAAAAAGGGAGGGCTCCAAAAGAAAGCGTCCCTCCAATACTGAGACATGGAGTGTCAGAGAATACAGAACAAATGATCTTGTGAGGGAGATTGCTGGAAGTGAGAGAAAATGGCGATTCCTTGAGAGTGTGAGGAAAAAAGAAACGAAAGTGCGCGAAACAAAGCGTCCACTTACTAACTGTGAGTTTCAACCGACAAATAATACCTCTGAAACATACTCATATTGGTAACAAGATGTACATGTATCTACAATTGAAAAAAAAATGACGTTCACTGCAAATTACTGACTCATTCGATTTTGTCCTACGCGGCACCAAATGACAAACACGACATGCGCTCATTTAAGCGACGCATAGACTGTGCGAGAATCACAGGAATCACGGAATCGCAGGAATACAGGAATCATCTGGAAAGGCCGATCCCGACAACCGACAACACCGACAACACCGACAACACCGACAACACCGACAACACCGACAACACCGACAACACCGACAACACCGACAACACCGACAACACCGACAACACCGACAACCTATGGCCCTTCCCTTAGTCCAGACTCTACTTACGACCACTTGCCCTGGCCCAAGTTTCGCCGCCTCTGATTTGCTACGGCCTTAGAAAGTATACCGTAGTCGCTTTTTTTGATCTCTGATCCATGTCTTTTTCACGTCTGTTCACCCATCGCTCACTGCAGATTATTAGCGGTACTTGCACAAACACACAACAGCTTTTATCTTTACAAAGGAAAATTTGTTTTTGTAATTCCTAAATGCCATCTCATGCCGAGCCATGGGGAAGAACGCAAAAAAGAATTGAATCACAATAAAGGAAAGAATGGTGTTTGTACTCTCTGCACCGGCTGCATGCTTTGTCCGGCAAGCACTACCGCGCTTGGAGTGGGTGTGTCCTTTCAGAATTTCTTCAGAGTTCACGGGGCTCGAAAGCTGCTTTACAGGATTTAGGATGTAAGTAGAAGTACGTAAGTCAGGAAATCATGCGAGAAGGGAATGTTGACCTTGTCTTTGAACAACTCAGCTGGTTCGCAAGATGGCTCGAGGTGTCGGGACGCAGCTAGCCAACAGCTGCTCGAGAAGGAGGTTGGCCGAAGATAGCCAACCAGCTGGCAGTAACCTCCCTCCGCCGGCACTAGCCGGCTACCTTCCCCTTTACCCTTTTCCCCTCTTGTATATACCTTGTATAATAAATATTATAGTAAGACTAATGTAAACCCGCTATACATCAGGTAAAAACTCGCGAACCTTTGTCCTGACATGGAATTCCCGGTAAGATTTTTTAAAGCACTAATCAACAATTTCCTTGAAAATTCCCCCCCCCCTCCCTTTCCCCCACCGTATTCGACAACAACGCCACCCAAAGTTACAACGAACAAATGAGTAAGTTATTTTTGATTTTTTGATTATAATCAACTAATAGTATGCAGTGATTGTTAAACAAAACAACTTTTTATGGAAGAGAATCTGAAATTGCAGAAAAGGAAAAGTTACCGAAAAATATATCGCGCAAATTACAAAATATCTTCAATTGGATTATTCAAGGATGAACTCTAATAGTCTGCGCGAGCAGTCCCAGGTCCCTTTCATGATCCCCTAGTCGTTAGCTAGGGTTCTCAACACACATTCTAGCAGCATTTTCTACAGAAAAAGTTATCACTACAAGTGTGCAACGGTGTGCAGAACGTAGGTAATGCCTCGCAAGTGAGAATTACTTATTACGCCTTACAAATTTCACCAATCACGGATTTATACAAATTTTCTTCTCCAGAGAAATTTCTTACTAAAAATTGGACTTGAATTTTTTTCTTAAGTGGGAGACACACCCTTACATAAGTGAACAAGAGATTTTTCTACTCTAGTTATTATCTAGTCACGCCCAGTGTTAGTATCTTTTGAGGGGGATACTTACACAGAAGTTATTATTGTTGAGCATTAATGAGGTTGTCTCGTTTTTTGTGTTTTCTTGTAATTGAACCGCTTATCTAATAATTGTTTGGACTGGACTGCTCGCATTGTAGCTACTTTACATATATTGCTGTACAGCATCGAAAGGACAAAATCCGCCAGAAACGTCAAATTAATCACCCTTTGTGAATACAGCTAGCTCTGCCGTAATCCTTTACACTGATCCCAGCAACTGCCTGTACGTACTCAAAATAGCAATAAATCTTGAACGCTGTAAGAGCAAAGCAGCTGAAGACCCTGTGGCCTTTGAAACGTAGCTCTTGCCTGTTTAAAGCTGTCCGCTTCGATTTATGGCATATCTCGCTGATTTGCGATGCACAACGTAATAAGAGCAGTCGACTTGAATCTTCAAGTAGCACCTGTTTGCAAGCTGACCTCCTACAGTAGATCCTGCTCTACAGTAGATTTACAGGTTTTCTGCAACAAATAAATCTAGCATTTGGCTGGAATTCAAATCCAACATTCGGATGGCAGAGTTCCTCATTGCGAGTTTTTTTCCAGCGCAACAAATTTTCAAGGTAAACTTAGACGAAACTGTCTAAAGCAGGCCTACCAACATCTGCTTCAAAATTATTCTTTCCATCAAGATTTTCAGATGGAAATTAGGTGTGCCTACTGATGTGAGCAAGCAAACTGTGCAATGATAAAAGCGAAGAAATACTAATTTTTTTGAGTTGACGCTTGCACTTTTGACCCTGTTTTATCACAGAAACCCAGCTTTGGTCAAATGATTTGGCGCATTTGTAGCGAAAGTGCTAGCTGCTTGAATAAATCGTGACCGAGCTATGAGATTTATAGAAGTCCAATTCCACACTCTTAGTACTGAGCTTTGAGAAAATTACCTACTCTAACTAGATAAAAGAAGAATAGGGCTGAATTAGTTTGACCCAAGCATCCACAGCTATTATGCTGAAGACGTTGACTATGACTGGAAACCGGTTGCAAGCAAGGTGTACAATTATGGACAGGAGATGAATTATGCTGAAATTTATTCAACATGCCTTGTCACAGCTGTGTAGCGCGTACACGCAGATCTGATCAATCCGACAAAGTAAAACACCATTACAAAATGCGCAATTAAATGAATTATGAGAATAATGGTATTAGAGCCTGGAAGATTAGCGCGCGAATCGCAACTATATCGCTTAGTTAAGGAATATTTTTAGCAGCTTTCGGGTATCGATGTATGAAACAAGAAACGCTATGTTGACTTGCGCCTTTCTTCTGAATGCATGTCCGGGACTACAAAAACTGAAAGTCGCCAAAAGGAAATCATGCCTGCATGATCTTAACCGTTACTAGCCTCTGCACTAGATAAAAAAGCTTCTCCCGGATTTTTCATATTGCAAAATCATTGTCGAAGATGGATGAAAGATTAACTGCTCAGGTTCAGCCGATCTGTCTTGAAATACTAATTATATATGCGCAAGATTGCTTATCCAAAACTAAGATTTTATTCTTACACCCAGATTTCCACCCGTGAAGAAAAATTTCTCGTTAAGAATCCACCAAAAGACGGATGTGCTGCTGCTAGGTGCATCCTACTCATCTTTTCATTATATCTGCACTACACTCTGTGCGAAAGTGAGAAAAGTAGTACGATGGTTTAGCTGGATGGAAAATATTTTATCACCTTTCGCTTGATGAGCATGGTAATGCATAATTCGTTTTATCTATGCTTATTTTTTTCTTTCATCATATCTGACAAAATTTGCCTTCAGAATAAGTTCAGCTAAATACTCCGTCAGTCACCTTCATACAAAAATCTTGAGCAATTTGCAGTATATCTGGAATCCTTGACGCAACTATTAAAGCTTTTTGTCAGCTAAAATCAACAACTCAAATTAAGGAAAAGCGACTATTAAGTCTACGCAAGAAAAATACGCTGAGGATCCACGAGGATGCTGTCGAAAAATGTTGTTCACATATGTATGT